CCCTCCTCTCTTTTCTCTCTCTCTCTCTCTCCTTTTTTTCTCCCTTTGCTCTGTTATTTAAATAAAATGTTTTGGTTGAAGAGTTTCATATTAAATGAATATATGAAATGAGAAGAATTAAATCTTTACATTCAACAGTGAAAAGTAAAAATGTTTAAATCTAAAATATTTACAAATATGAAAAATGTATTTTTTTAAATTATAATTTACATAAAAATTAAGATACCCATTTATTTCGAAGCGAAAATGCAACTAAAACAAAATGCTACTAAAATATCTGACTTAATCGTCATTAAAAGCGAGAAGAGAAAGAGAAAACACACAAAAGTGTGTTTGTTCAAGCTCTCTTTCATTTCGAGCGCATCCCACGTCTTCCACCTCGGCACATATAGGTCACTGGATATGTGCCGAGAGGATCCTTTGTCACGCGTGCGCATGTAGACCCCATAAAAGATTTCAGGCCTGAATAAGTCGTTTTTTCTTTTTCGTCTTCTTTCTCCTCGCGAGCAGAAGAAACAGCCGAACGCGGAGGAGAAGGAACCAAGTGGAGAAGGAGGAGGAGCTGCAAGGGCATTAGGCCCCACCGAACACGGAACGATAAAATTCTTACGAAACACCCGCATATGCAGAGAGCGAAAGGGAAAAGAGGTCCTCCTCTTCTGCGATTGAGCAACTCCGCGACTTCTAGCTGGAGAATTTTGTGTCTCCAGTGAAATGATTTAACGGTTGAAAAAAAACGTCTGCCATTAATCGTTTTACATATTTTTACAATATTTTCTCTGGAATTTATTATAAGTCAGTACAAGAAGTGTAAATTTTTATCAATACTATCCCGTGTTCTACTTTTTACAAATTAATAAATATATCATAAGTGTAAATCGATTGATAATATTTTATATTTTTATTAATATACTGGATAATTTACTTGTTCAAATGGAAGAAACAAATGCGAGATCAAATGCGAAAGATTGACTGTCGGAAAATGAGAATTTTCTCTGAGAGAAAATTGTCAGCGAACGCGAAGATGAGCGATGTCGCGAGAGATGTTTGTGCTTCGGAGAAAATATGTATCTTAATACTATCTTTAATGATTTATTCACGGAGATAAAACAGCGCCACGAGTGCCGGCACGATTGAGAGGAATGTAGCGAATTGAGGTCGAAGCAAAGTGGAAGACGCGAGAAGCGCGAGATGTAAGAGTGCCGGGAGCTTCAAGATACTGAAGAGCGACACGTATGTAAGCATTAATTGAATCGCATTACGTAATTCAATTAGAGATTTCGACAAAGAACGTTTTCTATAAAAAGAAATTTAAGAATATCTTCTTCCAATGATTCCAGAAAGTTTTCTATAATCGTGAACACAATCGGAAAACACCGGTTCTTTAAAATACTTTTAAAGCTAATAATAGTTTGGACTTGTCGAGAGAATTGGACGCGAAACGTGGACAGAATGTAATTCCGTTGAGACAGAACGTAATACGTAAAGATCAACACCTCGAAAGATATAAATTGAATTTAAATTTATTCATGTATCAATATATCTCTGTAGAAGTCGTTGATCACAATTCATTATCGCTATCTGATAGGATAATGTTAATCAATGATTTATAAAACGTCGAAAGGCCGTGAAAGTGACAGAGCGACGAGTTGTAGTTAAATACGAAAATTGATATTATAATTGGAATAAATTTCTCGAATCGAATTGAGCGCAGCTGCATATGTATGCAAAATATTCTCATAATTACGAATAGCGAAATAAATGCCAATGCCTCTTCTCTCGCTTGATACTTATTCATAATTTATTTTTACATTTTTTTTGTCACGCGTTAACATTTAAAACGTAGGCTTATATTTAGAATTATCCTAAACTATTTTTTTTTCATTTTGGAGCTGAATCTGAATTTGCCAGTAAGACACTACAATTGTTTCTACGCGTTTCCGGCGTAGTTGAAAACATATGTGTTACGTAATCTTTTCATCAGTGGTTCGCGCTCGTAAAAATATCGACGTATAATGAATATACCCGGTGTATCCAACGTATGAAAAAATATGCGAGAAAATTCGTCGTTGGTGGGCCAGACGAGCAAGCGAGCGAGCACGAACTAAAAGGTTGTCAATTCCTGTCGAGAGTAATTTTGATAGATACGTCGACCAGAGATCAGTCAAACGCGACCAGACAGAGGAGCGTTTCATTTTTCAACACCTAACCGCAGCTGGGAACGCAACGTCGAAAGAGATACGGTGTACGAAAACTTCTGAATTTGAGATAAAATTAATATTTGAAAAAAAATGTAAAATCAATAAGGCACTCTGATTTTTTTACGCTTGAAAAACATGTGATTGCACCTTTGTGAATGGTTTGCACGCAAGATATGTATAATGAATAATTGTGTGTTCATTATAACCATTTATTTATTTTTTGTATAATTCATAATTTATAATTTTCACATATATTATTATGGTTTACATTTATGACATAAATATCATTTATAATTCCCAATCTATATGTCAATGATATTCAGAAAAGAATTTATAGACTTTTGAAAAAGAAAAAAAATAAGGAGCGAAGTATTATTAATTTTACGTGTTTTTATATTGAATATTCATTTCACAAACACGAAAGAATATATTGAATATAAAATGTGAATATTTTAATTTATTAACTTAAGAGTATAAAAAATATGTTATAAAAATATGTTATAAAAAATAAGTTAATGAGTATTAAATGGAATTCTCATGAGCTCGTCTTCTCGGTCATATTTTGTTATCAGCAATTCAATCGTGCAGACACTGCCGAGTTGGATCGACTCATAGGCGGGTACATGTATAGATCATTGATAGATCGCGAAGGTTGCGATCGCATCGATAAGAATCTGCCATTTCTAACGCAGCTATAGTATCGTCGCCCTACGGGATTTCTTATCGGGGAAAAAACAAAGATAAAATGATTATATTCAAGTATAATATTTAATTTCTATAAAGTGTTATAATTAGCTATTTAAGCTATGACATTTGGAGATATCATCTACTATATATGACGTATATGACGTAAATATTGCAACTTTTAAAGATAACTGTATTATTCATTTTCGCGATAAAATGCACCATCGCGTAACTGTTTCAACATTTCACGCCACGCAACAAGCGTTCGCCAGTCTTTCTCGGGAATTCCGGAGACCGAAACACGAAGCGAGCGATAGAGAACGACATCCTCGTTTGCGGTTTTCGCAGGATAATTTATTTTGAGAATTCGCGCAGGCCTCTGTGGATCTCGGCTTAATTATAGGCCGTAGACTGGAAGGTCTAGAAACTTTAGACTCGTTCTCTAGACTTTTATGAATATACACATGTTTTGTTCTAGGTACAGTCATTCTTTCAATCTTCAAAAATTAATAAAATAAAAAGCTAAAGCTAACTAAATTTGTTTTGTTTTATCTTTGAAATCATGCATTTTAATTATGTCTAGCACGCTTTTAAGCTTAATTAACGCGATGCCCTTTCGTTTCCAGGTTTGATAAATGGTGAGAGCCCAGCGCAAGCCATGTACAATCTAAACGTGAATGTGAATCCCAGCCCGACCGGGACCGCGGGTCTTCTCGGTGTCACGGCGGCGGCGGCCGAGGTCACGCCAAGGACACCGGAAATCGTAAATTCGCTGATCGCCATGACCAATCCCTTCGAGGGCTACGGCAGCGGCAACGAGAAGGGCATGCGGGATCGTACGGACTCGACCAGCAGTGGCGAACCAAGCCCACCTAGTGTCCAGCACACCTGTAGTCAGCTTATCAAGGAAGGTAAACGAAGATGAACATTCTCTTCATTATCATACATGGCGAACGAAAACCTAAATGTTGCGAAAGATTTTTTTCTCTTTTTTTGTAGAATAAACTTTGGAAGATTCGACTTTTTTAAATAATAGAAACGATATTAAAAAAAAAAAAAAAAAAATTAGAAATATCGAATTCTGTTGATTATAAATGAATGATGTAACAAGATTCTTTTTAAAAAAGATTCTTTTTCAAGAGATCGGATGGTAAACATGTTTAAATATAGGATGATATTTTCACAGAAGATATTAATTTGAAGATTTATTAGATCCACGTAAAAATCGACATATTTTTTAATATTAATTTAGTATCAAAATGATATCTGTTTATGTATTAATTCACATTCTTGTATTTATCAAACGAATCAATACATTATATTGTATCTCATAAATATAAAGATATTTATTAATAATGTCACCTAAATCTAACATTTAACAAGCTCTAACATTTAACGTACGTATAATTATTATAAAAAAATTGATAATTAAATAATATCAATTGATAAGTGATAATTAACATTTTTTTAATTTAAATTTAATTTAATTAAGTTATTAACAATTTTTTTAATTTTTCTTTCTCTTGCTTTTCTTTTCTTTATATGTATTTATTTTGCTAACTTTCGGATTGGGAGGAAAATATTAATTGCTTAATTTATATTTCTCATAAACATGGAAAGAGCGCGAGGAGAATCTAACAATAAGCTGAAATTTAAGCGAGATTTGCACTCATTGCACCCACTTTATTCACATTTAACAATGTCAGTATAGCTCAGTTTTGCTCGGCAGTATAACTCTGCTTCTATTTCTTTCTCACTTTATTTTGCTCTTTTTGCCTTGCCTCTATGCACAGTGCGACGCATTAAATCGCGGATTCTGTTCCTTTCAAATTGCGGATTACGCAACATACGCATACACGCAACGCAAAGGAGGATCGTTATCGTAATTGCCTTTGCGGTTTTTTTGTTCACGTTGGTTGCTTCGATCTATTATATTAACTGTCAAATTAATTAATTGAATTTTTTTTTAATTGATTTTCGATATGAAATGTATAATTCGCGAGTATAGCACAAATTACTTTGATGATAGGTCGTGTGTCTGTTGACACAAATGATCCTTAATTATCGCGATTTAATTTCTCGAAGGCCACGAGAATGTCCTTGTATCACGTAGAAATGTTAGTGATCAGTGTCATTTTCTATGGTATTAATACATTGTATGTTACAATGTTTTCAAGTTTACTCTCCGACGGGAAGTCTGTAATTTATTGTAACATTAAGGAGTACATGCGAAATGATTGCATTCGCACAATCTGTTTAATCTTTCTATCTTTTATAATAAACGTGATTTTCAAATTGTACACATTATAGTTACAATTAAAGCTTTAATAATGCTATTAATACTTTTAATGAGACATTAATGAGAAAGATTGATCTTTTAAAATTAAAATTACATTGGAACCAAAATTTAAGAAAATTAGTTTTAAAAAATACTTTATAATGAGAAATAACAAGGAAGTGGCTTCTTCTTTTCACTGCACCGTTTAATTACTGACCATGTTTCTGGGTAATCCTAATATATTCACGTTGTTAGCATATTGCGATGGCGGTTTTGGCCTTGGCAATGTACCTGAGAGCGAAATTAATCAATGGAAATTAATTAAACCCTCCTTTGGGCAGGGCTGAAGCTAACATTGCAGACGAAGAGGCGGGCGAATAGTAGTGGCGATGATGGCAAGAAAAAGACAAAGAAGGAGGATGGCAGCGGCGCCGACGACGAGGAAGAGGACGAGGCAAGCAACAACAACAACAAGAATGGTGTAAGTAAACATTTGTATTCTTTACTATTTTCTTTACAAGTGATAGAATCAATTTAACGCAAATTGTTTTCGAAAGTGCTTGATAAGAATTGTCACTTTTCTTATTCGTTTCTAATTCTTTGTAATCCTAATCTTTGTGTAATTCCTTTATGTAATCAAGTCATTAATAATGACGCGGTGAATAATAAAATTATATAAATAATTAATAATATAATTATAATAATATATTATATTATAATAATATAATTAAATAAAATTATTAGTTATTAGTTAATAACTTTTTGAAATTCTTATAAAATTTTAGAAAGTAAAATTATTTTTTGTCAAGTAACATTATTGATATTAAAATGACAAAGTGTATAATATAATCAGCATGTGCGGAAATATTTAACAAAATAAAATTAATTTGTGGATTATAGAAAGTTAAAATTCCAGATGTAGAAGATAACTTTTTATTTTTAGGATCTTTTTTATGTAGTTGTAATAATAAAATGGACGAATATAAACGCCTTTTTTTGTTGAATAATTTAGATGAGGGCAATATTGGAAAAACTATGTGAGAGCTAGATGGGAAAAACTAGATAGGGGTGATATGAGAAAAACTATACGGGAAGTATATGGGAAAAACTATGTGGGAAGTTTATGGGAAAATCTATGTAGGAAGTATATGGGGAAAAACTATGTGGGAAGAAGATGGGAAAAACTATGTGGGAAGAAGATGGGAAAAACTATGCGGGAAAAAGATGGGAAAAACTATGTGGTAAGAAGATGGGAAAAACTATGTAGGAAGAAGATGGGAAAAACTATGTGGGAAGAAGATGGGAAAAACTATGTGGGCGTTAGATGGGAAAAACTATGTGGGGACTAGATGGGAAAAACTATGTGGGAAGAAGATGGGAAAAACTATGTGGAAAGAAGATGGGAAAA